GTGTCGCTTCGTGGTTGCCAACACCCAGCGCCTGGGGGTTTTGCCCCAGTGTGGCCACAAGAGGTGCCGTGAGCAAAGCTGCCTGAGCAGAACCAGGCTCCCACTCCGGCACCCCGAGGCACCCGAGCCGCCCTCCGCAGCTGCCCTGGCGCCCATGGAAGGTGCGAGTGGCGGGAGGCTGAGAAGGGGCGACTACATACAGCTTCAGCGCAGCCAGAGGAGTCTGAGGCGGTTGGTCCTTACCCTTCAGTTTGGTCCCTTTCATAGGCTTACTGCACTGACAGCGACTGGGAGGCCAGAGAGGGACAGGGGTTCCCCAGGACGCACAGCAAAGACTGGGCGTGGCCAGGACCCACAGCTCCTGCCCACATCTGCCTGTCTCTTGGGGGTAAAGCTCCTGGGTGGGGGCCGGAGGGAGGGCAGCTGCAGAATCTGAGGCTCTGAGCAAAGATGGGCCCCTGGATGGGCTCTGTGGGCCCAGATGAGGCTCCTGGCCTGTCTTTAAGGGGACTCCCTGCCCCAGCCGTCACAGCTTGACCCCAGAGCCTCCAACACTTTCTGCGAGCCTGGTCAGGAGCAACTCCCAGCTGTCCTCCTCAGCCTCACACCTTGCTGACAGCTTACACCGTAGGTGACGGTTGCCGCTGGCATTAACAGCAGGGAGGACAGCTCCTGCAAGGGCAAGGGGAGCAGCCTTTTGGTGGGGGGGGCACACCAGCACACGCTCTGACTTGAGGGTGTCTGGGTGTTGCAGCCACAGCACCCGGGTGCCGGATAAGGTCCACTCTGGCGTTGCTGTGACCCTAAGGCAAGCTGCCGTCCTGGTCTTGGCATTCTGGGTGGAAGAATGGGGGTCCCTTCTCAGAACTTGGCTGGCTGGGGTCCCCGCCTGCACCTCCCCTTGCCCAGAGCCCTTTCTTGTCCCCACGCCAGCAGGTACTCCCAGCCTGGCACCTCCACCACAGTCTCACCTCTCTTCACACCCATCTCATCAGGTCTCCCACGTGGCAGCTGCGGCGTTCCAACCAGGCTTCTGCGGCCTTGCTGTAGTGTCCCCTCCCCATCTGCCTCCCTGGAAGCTGCAGAGATCGCCCAGCACATGTGCAGTTCAAGGCACAACCTTTGTTTCCGTCCCTCACTCTGTCTGACCGGGCCCCCTTTTGGATCTCAGAGTGAATCCATAAGCCCATGAACTCAGGCTTTGTCTCATCCCCTTGAAGCTCTCAGAGCCCAACATTGGTGCTAGAACGTGCTCGACACGCTTTGTATGTTTCCAGTGAGCCTTCGTTAACAAAGATGTCTGGCTTGTGAATGGACAGGCAAAAGACGAGTGAGAAGGATGGCGATGGGTGGTGGAGACAGGGAGGTGAGGGTGGGTGGCTGCTTACGGACCTGGATAACAGCAGGATGGAATGTAGGGTGCTAGGTGAGCACGTGGATGCCGGATGAGAATTACTGGGGTCGGTGATCAGAGGGGCTGTGACAGACAGCTGAGGGAATTAAGGGGTGCACAATGGCTGCACTGCAAGAGTGAGCATGCAGGCTGGCTGGCTGTCCGAGTATTGCTCGGACAGGGTACTGGAAGCATGGGTAGGGTGCTAGATGGTGGTGTGGGACGGTGGATAGATGGAAGACAGCGCCTGCTTCTCTGCAGTGTGGTTGGCTGGATGACGATGAATAAAGGGATCGTAGATGCATAGACGGAGGGTGAGTGGGCGCTGAGCTGATGGGTACTGGATGTGCCTGGGTCATGGGTGAATTGGAGGAGGTGAATGGTGGACACAGAGTAAGTGGACGGTTGTGCTGGATCTTTCCACAGAGCGTAAATGGGGGGATGGGAGAGAAATGCTAACGCGTGGCTCATGAGGGTTGGGCACACCAATGGCGGCTGTATGTGCATGCATAGGAAACACGTGCAAGTCAGTGAATGGTCACTGGGTGACCGGATAACGCTCTGTGTACTGTGGTAGCGTAATGAATGCTGGATGGGGGACTGATGATAAATGGACGGATTCGGAATGGACAGCCGAGGGTTAGATGAGGAGTGGATGGATAACAGTTAAGTAGCGCGTGGCTACATCTTGGAAAACATGCACGAGAGGTGAATGTCAGATGGGAGGACGATGGGTAGACAGGAGGCGGTGGCTTAATGGACAGGTGGAGGGAGACGAATAGATGGCAAGTGGGTAGTGAGTGGGTGATAGGTGGGGGACGGTGCATGGCATGAACTGCTGGGTGGTGAGTGAACTGTAAGAGTGCTTTGCTGTCTTACATTGCTGTCCATTGCTGTCTTTGCACTCTGCCCCCAGCACCTGGAACGTTTGGCACATGGAAGGCACTCTAAATATTTCCAGAACGTACAAGTGTGGATGGACAGTAGACAGCATTAGAGATTTGGGAAGAATAGTGAATTACGGGCCTACCACGTGGCATTGTGGTTAAGGGTGCTGGAATCCCACATGGCCAACCGTGGTTCGAGTCCCAGACCTGGCAGCTTGCTTTCTCACTTTTCCTCTCTCTCACTCTGACCCTCTCTGGTCAAATTTTAAAAAATAAATAAATAAAGTGAAATAAAATAATTATTTTAAAAAGAGGAATAATGAATTATGGATGGTTGTTGCATGGATAGAGGATGTTGTGAGATAGGTAATGAATGGATAGATAGAGTGGTGGGCCAGCCCCATGGCCTAGTGGTTAAGGGAGCCAGATCTCACATAGCCTGCTGTGGTCTGATTCTCCCCCACGTGAAAAACACGTTGGGCATATGTGCGTGCATTTCCAGAATCCTGAAAAGATGGAAAAATGGAGAAAGTTGCAATGGATCACTCCTCATGGGGAGAGTGACTTCCCTCTGTCTCTTTCTGGCCAGCACACCCACCCTCTGGCAAATTAGAAAATACATATGAGTAGCAAGTGGATGCACAGAGGGTTGACAGATGGATGGGCAGTGGGTGGTGGGCGCAGGGTATTGAACCACGAAGAGATGATGTACGGTGAATGACGACGGAATTAGATCGGTAACTCTGGCTCACTGAATGGAGGCCAATGGATAGAGCAGGGTGACTGGATACAAACAGAAGGTAGATTAATGACGGCAGTTAGATATGCAGTGGATGGATATACACACTCACAGACATGTATTAGTACTAATGGACAGACATCCTAACGCTAACAATAGGTAACTGTTATGATTTGAGTGTGTTCCCCTCAGACCCACATGTTGAGATTTGGTTCCTAATTATGACAATTTTAATTTGTTTATCTTTTTAGTTTTTGCTAAAGGCGTGTGTGCTTGCTAGAGAGAGAAAGAAAGTGAGAAATCATCCCCAAGTGGGATGGTCAAGCCACAATCCCTTCTCCATTCTCCTCTCAGGATTTTGGGCATGCACATACATGTGCTTCAGCATGTTTCCCAAGCTCCCAGGTCTGGGACTTGAACTGTGGAGTGTGCCATGTGGGATCCAGCCACCTAACAACTATGCCACTAACTGGTCTATCTACTATGACAGTGTTAAGAGGGGGACACTTAATCTGACTATGGAATTAAGGGGGGGGTGTCTTTATTTATTTATTTATTTTTGGAGAGGTTTTTGCTATAGGGCGCATGCACTCACCAGACAGACAGAGAGAGACAGAGAGGTAGAAAATGAGAAATCACCCACCAGCGGGGGATGGCCATGCCACAATCCCTTCTCCTCCATTCTCCTCTTGGGATCTTGGGCACGCACGCACACGTGCACGGCATGAGTTTAGGCCACCGGGTCCAGGACTCGAACCACGGTCGACTACATGGGACTCTAGCAACATAGCCATTACGGTAACTGCTGGTCCCAGAGGGGGGCCTTTAGGAGGTGGCTGGATGAGATAAGGCCATTTTCAGTGAGTACTGGATTTATAAGAGCAGGAACAAGACGCAGAGACACAGACAAAAGCTCTTGCCACACAATGCCCTGTGCTGCCTTGGGCTTACGCATAGAGCCCTCCCCAACAAGAAGACCCTCGCCAGATGTGGTTTTTGATCTTGGGTCTCCAAAACAGTGAGCTAAATAAACCTCTATTCTTTATAAATGACCCAGTCTGATCATCAAATCTTATATCAGAGAAGTGGACTGCACAACAGTTAAGTGTTTGATGGAAATTTGTGACATGGTGAGCGAGAGGTGGACATGTGGTGGATGGATGGACGGGAGTGAATGCTGGACCGATGGCTACGTTCCTAGTGCACTGAGGCTGGGGCCGTGCTGAATGGATGATGCACGGCGGCTGGAGAGCAGAGATGGCGGTGGGCGGTTAACTGGGGGTGCGGCTGGGTTGTGGATCATGGCTGGTGGCTGGCACACGGGATGGATGTTGGATGCTGAGCAGTGATTGAATGGTGGATGGCGAGTGGGCGGTTGGAGACCAGACAGGGGAAGGTAGATGGTGGATTGTGGACCAGATGGATGTTGGCTATTGATGGGAGACACGGTGACTGGACGGTAGAAGATAGATAGGTGGCTGTTTGTGAGTGACAGTTAGATGGCTGGACTTGAACTGGACTATGGTGCTGGATGGAGTTGGATTGGATCGTCACGTAATTGGATTACCTGGGCCTCAGGTGTCAGGTGTGCACACTGGGCTGAAAGAAACTATTGTCCCAGGGCTGTTCAGCTCCTTTTCAGAAATGGGACTAAGAGTGAAGATGAGAGAGGAACTGTGGGGTGAACTGTCTTCCCTGGGGTCGCCAAAACACTTTGTAACTGCTTCCACCTAATTCTGCACCCCAAATTCCTGAAGCCCTAC